ATAGCAGCTTGATTCATAATTGCCAATACCTGGAAGCAACTAAGATGGGTGGATAAATAAACAGTGTTACAGCCAGACAGCAGAATATTATTCAACACTCAAAAGAAATGAGCTATCAAACCATGAAAAGACATGGGGGAAATTTAAATGCATGTTGCTAAGTGTCAGAAGCCAATCTGAAAAGCCTGCCTACTGTATGGTTCCAACTGTATGACGTTTTGGAAATGGAAAAACTATGGAAGATAGTAAAAAGATGAGTGGTTGCCAGGGGTTGGGGGGAGAGAGGGATGAGTAGGCAGAGCACAGAGGATTTCTAGGCAGCGATTTATTCCGTATGATCCCATAATGATAGATACATGTGTTATACATTTGTTCAGACTCATGAAATGTATAATCCCAAGGGTGACCCCTAATGCAAACTATGGACTTTGGGTGATGATGATGTATCAGCATAGGGTCATCAATTGTAACAAGTGTAACATTCCGGTGCGCGGGGAGGGGGTGCTGGAAGTGTTGGGAATGGGGGAGGCTATGCATGTGTGGGGGAAAAGGGCACTTGGCAAATACCTCCCTTCCACTAAATTTTGCTGTATACCTAAAACTTCTCTAAAAAGTAAAATCTATTAAAAATGTTTAAAAAAGAATAACTCTGCATACTATGCGGAGAAGGGGATGGGAGGTTCACAGTTATGACAATCCCATGAAGGAATGTCTTTGGGGCACAAAATGCCCCTACAATTTGGTGTTAAGGTTTTGAAATGTGTGACGGGTGTCTGAGGAATCCTCTAAACCCCAATCAAGGGTGGTGACTGCAAGACACAAAAGTTGTAATCTTCTTCATTGTATTGCAGTCAGCCTAAGGAAAGGCTGCGGCACCACAAGAGCATGTCGGCCCGGGGGCTGGAACGGTAGGAGCAGCAAGGGCGAGCATCTGGTAGCATGTCTTCAGCACCAGCACCCAGGCTAGGAGGCACAGTCTAGCAAGATAAATGAGTTTATTAGTCTGTCATAACTCAATGACACCAGCTGTTAATTTTGTCCTGCCTGGTAGACATTCAATAAATATTTGTTTGCAGTGAATTGGATTAAATTGGATTCCATGCTCTCCAAGCAGCTTTCTGATCACAATTTGGTTTCCTGCGAATCTTTTCTATGAGCATAAAATGTACTGATTTGCTGACACAAACTTTCTAGTCTGGCTTACATTTCTAGTTGTGCCATAAACGACGAAGTTGGCCTTATGATGCCCGTGTCTCTCCCCTTTGTTTGATCAGTGTGACGGACAGTGGTGATTGTTATCCAGCCTTTAGCTCCCCTTCTCCCCTCCAATCAGTAAACCTTTTTCTATTTACTTACCTGTCCCTCCACCATGCAGTCCCTGTGCTTCTGGGTGAACTGACCCCACCTCCAACTCCAGGCTGGCCATGACTGTCTCGTTCCAATCATCGTATTTGACCGCCACTATAGTGACTGATTCAGATGTTGGCATATAACCTAAACTGGTGTAATCGAAACAAAATTCAAGAGTCTTCCATAGAAAACTGGGACAGGGACAAAGATCCCCCAGGTCTCCAGCCTGCCAGCTTGTACTGCAGGTTTTCAATTTGACAGCCCCTAGAGTCATGAGAGCCAAAACCTTAAAATAAATTAGAGAGAGAAAGAAGGAGAGAGACAGAGAGAGAGAGAGACTGAGTTCCCATTGGTTCTGCTTCTGTTGAGAACCCCAGTACAGCTACCCACGGGGCACAACGCAGACATGCAGAAGAGAGCAGAACTAATCCAGCCTGAACCCACATGGACCAACCAGGATGATTTCAGCAACAGAAAACCCAACTGCCTTAGACAATGTGGAAACCTCTGACTTACAAAGTGGAAGTCCCAGTGATAGATAGAACAGGCCTCGGGGTCCGTGGACCCGATCGGGCAGCGATGTCATCAGGGAAGCACATTCTTTCCTTTTCTCTGCTCCATGACCCATGGTGCTCCATCGCAAACCTGACACTCTCATACTTACTGGGGAACTTTGCTACCAGTCAGGCCTACCCCCTTCCTCCTTCGCATCCAGTGGATGAGATTGGAGTTCCATGTCTCCGTCTCTCAGAAGTGAGGCTGATCCTTCTCTCATATCACATTAGAACAGATGGGCATAGATTTGCCCAACCCTGAACCACTCACTGTCATTGTCGAGGAAGAAGGGGGATTACCACGATCGGCTTAAGTTAGCCCAGGCCAACCCTCGCAGCCTTGTCAGTCCCTCAGCCTGCACTGCTGCGGCACGAGGCAGGGGGCTGGGGTGGCCGTTGGGCAGGCATCAGCCATGTCCCCCAAGGAGCCCAGCTGCTGCATTTTCAGGTATAGAAGCTAACCAATTCACTGTCCTTTTGAATCGGATCTTAATGACCTACTACAAAAGTTATCCTGTTATAGCAGTCGACGAGCCCATCCTCAAGATCTTGTGGCTTCTGTGTACCTTGGCCAAATCAATTTCCTGAGTCTTTGTAGTTAAGGACCAGCCTCTAAATCATGGTGAGCTCCCTGGGTTAGTCCACTTGTCTGTACTACCTGCACCATCTCTTGGCCCATCCCACACCTAAATCTCCCTAGGCCTGTCGTTCACCCCGCTTATTAGCACCCTCTGAATGCTGGACTCCATAATTTCCACCACAGGGCATCCTTTTCTCCCTGACGCCTAACCTCTGACCTTATGTCATATTTGTGTACAAGTCATCCACTCAGGATTATACCCATTACCTGCTTCTTTTGCTTCTATTATGGGCTTCTAGAGGAAAAATACTTTTATCTGTTATTTTATCTGTTACGTTACTTAGCACTGGGTGTTTTCTACTTTAAGTCTCATAATAACCTTAAATAGATATTCAAACCCTTATTCACAAATGAGGAAACTGTGAGTCAGGGACATCAGATACCCTGACCAGGGTCATGCTGCTGGGAAGGAATTCAAACCCTGGGCGGTCTTCTCCCAGGCCCGCACAGTTTCCGATGCACCACAGAAAGTCACGCTAGTCTCATCTGCAGTTGAATCTTGGGACCAAGTTTGGGTTTAACACTCGTGTTCTACAGTCCTTCTAATTCATCTTTGATTCTCTCTCTATCCCGGCATTCATTGCTGTTCTGCCAGACCTTGACCCTTTCCTCATGACCCTAATGCTGTGCCCATATCCATGGAATATGGAAGATGGCCCCCTCTACCTCAGAGCAAAACAGAAGCTCCTCTGACCTAACCTCTCTTATGTGTCCATTCTTCACCTCAACTCATCACGTCTTGAGGCTCTTGTCAGGAGTCTCTCTGACGAGGTCCTGCCAATCTCTGTCCGCAGTGGAATCTGTCTTTCTGGATCTTACATCCCAAGCTGGCACTGTACTATGTAGACTGCTTGTCCTGCAGACGAGCTGTGCAGTGCTAACCACACAAATGTGTTGCAAATATTAAAGGTTTTTAAAATGTTTGCACTTAGCAACTTGCATTTATTGTATTCCTTTTGTTTACCCAGATGCTGTGGGTGGGCAGGAAGAAGCAGAGAACAGACTCCTGTGCCCGAGCAATTCACCGTCTAGTGGGAGAGTCAAAGGTAAGCACTAACAGACAACAATTGTACCATCAGAAATAGTGGTTTTTAAAAATTAATCCCACAAACCCAGAAATAATTCATCACAAAGGTTATATATACATACGGTGCATGTATTTTTTGATAATCCAAACATTACAGAAGTATATAAACAGAGAAAGACCCTGGTTATTTTGCCTCATTAATTATTTTTTTAAAGGATTTTATTTATTTATTTTTAGAGAGGGGGACGGGAGGGGGGAAGGGAGGGAGAAAGAGAGGGAAAGAAACATCAATGTGCGAGAGAAATATCAGTCTGTTGCCTCTCACATGTCCCCATCTGGGGACGTGACCCGCAACCCAGGCATGTGCCCTGACCAGGAATCAAACCGGTGACCTTTTACTTTGTGGGCCAAGGCCCAACCAACTGAGCCACGCTGGCCAGGGTTGCCTCCTTAATTCTTGTTTAGTAAGAGTAACATGTTAACAGATCATATATAATGTATATTTACATATATATGTATATACACATACATATACACACGTTTGCTCTCCTTTAACAAAAAATAGGATCATACTCTACATATTAGCCTGCAAATTTTTCTCAATGGACAATGATGTCCTTCAATGATTTACCTGATTCTTTTTTTAATGACTGTATTCTTTTCTTTTGAATTCAACAGTCTCCTGTAGATAATCACTTAGCCCCCTCTTTACCTCTATCACAAGCAATGTTTCAGTGAGTGCTCATTCACACATTTTTAGTGGGATACTGGTAAATGTTTTAACAGTTGGCTCTCTGAATTAAAAAAAAAAAAGAAAAGGCAGGACAGTTTTGTACATTTGCTTATTGCCATGGTGTAAATTCTCCCATTGGGGGGAATTTCAAGCTGCCCTTGCGACACCACTGAAGGTGGAGACAGGGAGAGATGGGTCAGCGATCTCTTGGCTGATAGGTCAGCTGTGGCACACCACTGTGTATTTTATCGTGTGCATGCTTTTGAGCCTTTTGCCACACAGGAAAGCCAGCTAGTAAAAGGCAATTATCACTTTGCCAGACAGGGGAAACATAACTAGCTTATTAGCTGTAATAAAGTTGAACCATGAATTCAATGCACTCTTTTTGGATTCTAAAGGAGGCCCTTTATCTGTTTCCTTAAATAGATTCTGTTTAAAAGCCAAGGAAATTTCAAAGTGTTTCTTTTTATTTTGCCACCTGAGAAAATCACTTCAGCAAAGTACACAGGATATATGACTAAATGCATTTTAACAACCCCGTGGAAGTGCTATTAAATGCACCAATTAGTATATTGAGGCCCTAACAGGTGCGTGAGGAGAGAAGTCTGACCTCTCTCCTCTGGGTCACTCACACTCACAGGGCTGGGTCACACCCACGTGCATAAAATGAGCTGCCTCCAACGGGAGGGTGCATCAGAATCACCTGCCAGGCTCCCGCCCGCACAACTTCTGATTCCAGAGGCCCAGGGTGCAGCCGGGGGTTTGTATCAAGTTCCCGGGTGATGCTGCTGCTGCTGCTGCTGCTGCTCTAAAGATCTCCTTCGGAGAAACAGAGCCCATCTCTCACACTCTGGAATTGTGTCCATTTCTACCACGAGCTCAGATTCCTTCAGCTCGACTTTCTCCTGTCAAACTGTTGGTAAGTTTAGAAACGTAGTAAGTTCTTATGAGCAATCAGACCACTCAAGAACAGGTTTAGTAGGGGAGAGGTGACACAAACTCCTTGTTGCAGAGAGAAGCATAATGAACTTTGTTTCCTGAAAATGAAGGGGATGGTTAATGATTGCTATTAGAGCTAATAAAAAGGGTGGACTTTCAAGGTGGTGTCATTCGTTAAAGAGCTCAAAGTGCTCATTCACAGCTGCGGTCACACTGACGTCTGGGTGTGGATGCTGTTCCTGCCACTTAACTGGCAGTGTAAGCTTGAGCAACCTGTTTCACTCCTCTGTGCCCCAGTTTACTCATCTGTAAAGTGGGGATGATCATTGTGATAGATGCCTCATAGGGTTATTGAGAGAATGTCCAGGGCACAGGGTCTGACGTGTGAGAAGCACTCAGTGAATACTGTCTGTTAGGAACTAGAACTCCAGTTCCGTATTAAGAAGAAAGCATTTTTTCAGCAAGTAAGTTTGGGAAATGTCATATTAAACAGAGTAAATAAGTTCCTTTGTTGCAGGACTTCTAAGTACCTTTTGTATGCCAGGGCACAGCACAACTCCTTTAGAGGAAAATACGAGGGGGGACCCCCCAAAAAGAAAACTGGAAGTATCTTCTGGAGGGCAGGCCCCTTGTAGTACAGGCTTCCCCCACAAGGTGGGTATTCTAGGAACCAATCCGTATCATTGTACCAGCTGGTGGTGTTGTGGGAGGCTGCATTTGGCTTCAGTGAATTTTTTTTGGAAGACTCTTTCAACACGTTTGCCCATTTCATAACAGGTGACTTCTGACTGCACCTGCCCATACAGTGCTGAGTGTTCAGCAGTTTTTGACCGAAAACAGCATGATTCCCATGTCCCACCCGAATTCACCCCAAGCACCTTTATTGTTTCCTTGGATGAAAAAAGTCCTCAAAGGGAAATATTTTGCCAATGTGGAAGAGGTGAAGCAAAAAAAAATGGCAGTAGCACTAAAAAGTATCAAAATCAAAGAGTTCAAAAACTGTTTTGAGCAGTGAGAAAATCGTCTCAATAGGTATATTGCATGAAATGGAGAGTACTTTGAAGGTGACTGAAGTTTAAAAATATAAGAATGCACAGTTTTTATAAATAAATTCCAGGTTTTGGGGGTCCCTGTCGTGTTTCTAAGGGACACTTAGCCACAGAACTCTTTTGCAAATAGTGTTTTGAGGATAAGGATTTTTTAAATACTGTTATATTTATGGTAATACCTGTATTTCTTGACAAATACACAACTGAAAGGGACAGAATTGGGATTAAGCAAAGAAAATCTTTGTATCAAAATAATTTTCGACAGCCCTTCAGAAGAGATAACACTTCCCTCCTGTGTCCCTTTGTTCCTGCCTGTGCTCAGTCTTTCCGATGAATATTCACAGAGCGCCTCTAGGTAACAGGCGCTGTAAGTGCTGCAGGTACTGGGGATTGAATGAGGAATAAAATATTAAAAGTTCCTATCCTCAAGGAGTTTGCTCTAGAAGACAGATAATACACCAGTAAACAAATAAATAAATAGTATGTCAGTTGGTGATAAGTATGATGAGAAAAATGAGGTGGGGTAAAGGGGAGATGAAAAATATGCAGGGCAGTGGGTCATTTCAGTGGGGACCTGGAGGAAAAGAAGGAGCAAACTATGGGAACAGCTGAGAGGAAAAAAACAGCCCGGGAAGAGGGGAGTGAGTGCCAAGAAGTACCCTAAACTGAGAGCTGCCTGTGTGGCTGAAGCCTTTTAAATGCCAGGAAGGGAGGGCGGGAAAGAGAAGTTGGAAGTGAGGTGCAAGGGGTACAGGAGGCCACACCAGAAGAAAGTGTCCTAGCTATCTTTTACTGCAAAACAAATCACCCCAAAACTTGGTTGCTTAAAACAGCAATGGTAACTTATTTCCTTCCCCCATTCCTGTGTGTGAGGAATTTGGGAGTGGCTCAGCCAAGCATTTCTGACTTTGAGTTCCTCATGAGGTTCAGTCAGAGGTCAGCTGGGACTGCATCATCCAAAAGCTTGACGGGGCTGGAGGATCCACTCCTAAGACGGTTCAGCGCACAGCTAGTGAGTTGATGTTGGCTGTTGCCTGGGACACTCAGTTCCTCTCCGTGTGGTTTCTCCATGAGCTGTCTGAGGGATCTGCATGGTGTTGGCTTCCCTCAGAGAAAGCAACAGGGGAGGCTGAGGCAGAGGTGCAGTGCCTTTTTGCCCTGAATTGTAAGTCACGTGCTGATCTTCATGGGAGGGTGTTACAAAGTCATGAAAGTCAGGATACAAGATCTCTGACAGCCATCTGGGGGGCTGGCTACCGCATGGTTACAAAGCCTTTGGCTTTTACTCTGAAATGGAGAGCACTTGGAGGTTTGGGCAGAAGAGTAACATGGTCTGAGTTATATTTTTAAAGGATTGTTCCAAGTGCTATATTGATAACAGATGATGAGGGGACAGGGAGCAAGGGTGACAGCAGGGAGAACAGATAGAAGGCAGCCTCAAGACTCCAAGTGGGAGAGCATGATGGCTTGGACCAGATGGCAATGGGGAAGGTAGTGAGGTGTGATCAGAGTCTAGATATACTTTGAAGTAAGAGCCAGCAGAACTCCTGATGGACTGAACCGTGAATTGTGGTCAAAGATGACTTGGCCTGATTGAGCATTTGGGTGCCCTCTGCTATATCCTGGCACCAGACGTACCCCTTGCCATGGAAACTCAGGGAGCTGCCACAGTATTGACAGAATACTGCCCCAGGTCTGTCTCAGTGACACTAATTCAACATTCCAGCTCTTTGCTTAAAAAGATCTGGGTATCATTTCAAATGACATAGAAAAAACAAAATTGTTGCAAATCATTAAGAAACTTTAAGGCACTTGTGGCTGTTCCCAAAGGCATGGCTAGGCTAATTATCCTCTCTCTGCCCCAACTCCCCCACCTAGTTGCTTTTAGATGGCAAAATACACTATTACTCTCCATTTTCTGTTTTAATTCTACATTAACAGAAAGACTCCTGGAATCTGTCAGCACTGGAACATATTCAACCACTATTAAATAACCTTTCTTTGCTTTATAATAAAAGCAATGTTTATTTTAAACTTTTAACTTAACCAAGCATTAAAAAGACACTTATTTGATCTGATGTGAAAATCTTTATGCTGAATATTCCGAATTACTGTGGAAATGAGCACCCTGTACCACAATGCTGGCATTACAGATCATATTTGCAGCTTAATTACGTGAGGATGAATTCTCTAAACTAAGTATACCTTCTCTTAGGTCCTGAGTTTTAGGGTCCTTAAAAATTCATGAGACGATCTTCCTCAAATCTTCTGAGACTCCATGTTTGATTTTTAGACCAGGTCTTTGAAAGTGCTGTCATTCATTTATTTATGTATTCATTCCATATTGACAACATATTATATTCAAGTCTTATGCTTTGTGCTGATGATTCAAATATGGACACATCCTTGACTGCATAGAGCTTATACTTACTGGGAAAGACAGAAGAAGAAACACTCAAAGTGCTACTACGGAGTAAGGACAGGGTACTTTGGGAACACATAAGAAAGGCTCCTGCCCAGTCATCAGAAGGGTGGCTATGAATAAGCCAAGGCCTTAAACATAGAGGCGGGCACAAGGGTGCTCCAAGAAGGAGAGAACCTGATACGAGAGAGTATATTCAATGAACATAAAGTGCAATGCAGTGGAGAACAACACAAGCCAACTCAGTAAGGCTCAAGTTGCAGGTAGATGTTGGAAAGTGAAAAGATCTAGAGAGGTAAGCTGGTACCAGCCCAGGAAGTGCCTAAAATTTCAAGGACCCTATCGTTTATCCAAAAGCCATGGGGAATCACTTAACAGTTTCAAGTGGACATCACTAGGGAAGTTGGTGTTTTGGAAAAGTCCCCTGAGCCCCGGTCCAGAGCTTGGATTTGAAAGCAGGGAATGGAATCCAGCCTTCCTGTTATCTCATCGTCATACCTCCACAACTCAATCCCCATCATGTCTGTCTGGTACCACTGCGCCAGTCCACCCAAGCAGTCCCCCGGCCATTCCCATCAGCCAACTGAAAATGCAAACAGACCAGGCCACTCCCCACTGAAATATGCTTTGCGTCCCGCTATCCTTACAAAAAAGGCAAAATCCAACAGCATTCACAAGTCCTTGCTCAGTTAGGTCGAAGCTTTCCATCCAGTTTCAATACCTCCTTGATTTCCTTGGGTCTTTCAATTCCAGTTGTTGTGGGTTTTCTTCCTGTTCCTTTAAAGGAGCAAGTTCTTAGTCCCACTTGTTCTACAACTCCAAACATTTTGTGTTCTCTGCCTAGGACAGTGGATTTGTCTGTCTCTGGTTAATTTAATTTATGCCTTTCATTTAGATTTTGGCCTTCCACTTTCCCAAGGATGAGTTGCTTTACCTCCTTGACTAAGTGAAGCTCCCCACTCCACACTGGACACACTCATTACACTTTGTACCTCTCCTCTTATTACGCTTTATTGACCAGGCTTGTTGAATGCCAGCCTTTCCCAGTAGACTGAGCTTCTTCTTCCCACTTCTCTTGTAGATCATGGCATGCCCATCAGCTGGCACAGCACTGGTTCAGTGTATCACTCAATCAGTATACACTGAAAAAAAGAGGAGACGGTTAACAGGGGTGTCTGAACTGAGGGGGTAAAAAGGATGGATTTAAGTCTTGAGTGCTCAGAATGACTGGACTTGGAAATTAACTGTAAATGAAGAGAAAACATTTGGGGAGAGGGCAGGCCCTGTGTGTCTCATTCCCCACTGCACTGCATGTGCCGTGAGGGGTGCCTGGTGTATGGCGGAGCTCTCAATAAAAATAGTCGTGTCAAATGAATGAGGTCAGATGAGTGGAGGCCTTCGCTCAGGGTTCTGGCTTGGTCTAGTGTTTTCCCATCCCCCAAGAGGAGGGAAGCATGAGCAGAATTGCTTGTACTGACAGGGTTTCAAACAGCACTACTCAGCTATTTGCTTTCAAAGAGACTATATGAGTGTTAGAAATCACATTCTATCAATAGAAAGAAGAACAGAGCATGAGTGTGTGTGAAGTATTGCCATTGAGTTGTACTCAACTTAAAGTTTATGTGAGTATTTTAATACTTTAAATTAAACCAGTTACAACCGGTTTCATCTAATAGATTTCAATTTGTAGTAAAGACAAGATAGGATCTTGGATGGGCTGCTCCTGAATGCTGTGATTAAAAATTGCAATAGTAATAATAATCCCCCTCCTCTTAGAGGGGAAGAGTTACAGAGATTCTCTAAAAACATCTCTACCATGGCCAGCTATACATCGTTCCAATTAAAAAATGTAACACACAGGATTTCCATTTGGGGTGATGAAAATGTTCTGGAATTACACAGTGGCCAACGGTTGCACAATATTGTAAATGTATTTAATGCTGCTAAATTGTATACTTTAAAATTGTTACAGTGGTAAATTTTATATTGTTTCTCACCACACACAAAAAAGCAACACAAAACATGTGTTCCCCAGAATTAAAAAAGTTTGACCATCTTATACAACTTAGGTATTTTAAAATTGTGAGAAGTTTCACTCTGCTTATGAGATGCTTTTGAAAGACATGGCTGTGTGATGCAGTGGAGATTTTCTCTGGCAAGAAATTTGGTGCCCAGCGTCTGAGAAAGGAATGAAATGTGGGTTGTGTGTGACATGTCTTTGAAAGTAAGAAAGAGAATCTAAGTAATAGCAGAAAACAATCACCTCCCAGGTCTGTATAAGAAAAGGGCTATCCTTGATTCTCACCCCATCTAATTCTATTTGCCTCTTAAGAGTTGTATCCACAGAGAATGTAAACTCCCAAAACAATTCTGTACTTAAGAAATCCAATGATGTGGTCTCTACAGTTTTCAGCTTTGTGACCAAAAACAACACATTTGTTCATTATTTTCCTGTAGGGAGTGCATGTTTTAAAAGGGAATGTCTACTATATAATATCTAACAAACTGTCCTTGTTAAATAAATGAATTCATTTCCTATTTTCTACTTATCAGTTATATAATACACACATACTATGCATAGCATGAGGCAGACAGCGTTACTAAACTCACTTGCTATAACTCCAGATAAAAACAAAGAATGGACTCTCAGGTTTACCTTTCAGCTTCTCTTTTTTAAGCTATCAATGCCTTTCGATAATTTAAAACACTAAATATTTATTAAGTTTAGAAATTCTGAAAAGAACTTGGATGCCTTCATTAGTACCACCCAGGGTCCCTAATAAGGAATTATCACTCTAATAATTAGTGTTTATATGAGTGTATCTCAACAGAGAGGAGGCAGCTGCCTTAACCGGGCTTATCAAAATCACCTCAGGTAGTTTTTCAAGGTACACATTTTCCTGAGTCCCTGAGGAGAAACTGGTAGGCCTTCTGGGTAGGGGCTCAGGGGGTGGGGACCGTTTTTTCTTTCTTGAGAATAAGGACCGCTACAGCGAGCCACTCTACTGACGAGAGTGTATGTTACCCTTCAAGCTTTAGGGTCAAGAAAAGGGTAAGAACAAAACACTGATTTATATAACCCTTTGTGTGAGGCTTTACAGCGAAACCAATTTCTAATGGCAAGTCATTGTCTCTTTGCCTAGACTGAATAACATAGACAAAAAATAATTATACACAGAGTGCTCTAACAAACTGATGAGAAAAAAAATATTGAAGTTCCAATAAAAATGAGCATCTATAGTAAACAACTCATAGAAGGAGCAACTAAAATTGTTAACAAATAAGGGGACAAAATGTTTCAGCCTGTCTAGGAATGGAAAAGGGTAAAAATATCACTGTGAGCTTGGCTTCTGCTTCCATCTAGGACGGAGTTACAATGACCGGATATATCTTTGCACATGAAACAACCGAAAAATGGGCAAACTACAGGAAATGGTCGTTTGCAAGACATTGGACATTAGTCATTGAAGACAGTGATCCTGAGAGGCAAGGAAAAATGAGGTGAGCCACACAACTGCCAGCATCTTCCTTGAGTGGGTTTCTGGGTGATGACCCAGGGAGGCAGACTCAGGCAGGGAAGAGGGAACAGAGTCGAGGGACACCAGGGCAACCCCAATTTGGAGGCAGAGTAATGAGAAAGTAATGAGGAGAGAACCCCAGAAATCTACAGAGTACTGATCAGCACACGCTTGTGAGGAAACCATGAGAGGCCAGAGAAAGAGCACCGTGGAAGGACTGAAGTAGACAATGCCTGGCACTCACATGGTCTGTCCCATCGGCCAGACGGGAAAACTTCCTGATTCACAGGACGGGGTGAGGTGTTCAGAAGGGTCTCACCTCGCCAGTAGGCAATTGGTCCTTGACCAACCACTGCTCTGATCCCACCTAACAAACCTTAGAAGCAAGACATAAAGGACCAACTTTCCAAGCAATGTAACTGCATTCCAGAACAAAGCCCAAGTCCATTATGTGAATACAAAGACATTCAGCACCCAGAAAGAAAAATTCAATCTCTAGGACCCAATCAAAAAATTTAAAAGGCACACAGAAAAGAAAGAAAATAAGATCCATAATGAGGAGATAAATTCATCACAGTTGTAATTAATTTAATACAGGTGTTAGAATTAGCAACTAAAGACAATAAAATAATTATTATAACTATACTTCATGTAATTAAAAGGTTAGAGACATGGGAGACATACAAAAGACCCATATCAGACTTGCAGAGGTGAGGACTACACTGTGTGGGAATAGAAATACACGAGGTGAGATTAACATCAGAATAAAGAAGGAAAAATACAGTGATTTTGATGACAATGGAAAATTGTCTATCCCAAATATAACAAGGGAAAAGAAGAAAATAAACAGAGCATCAGACAGGTATTGAACAACTTCAAGTAGCTGCATATTCATGAAATCAGAGTCCCCTAGCAAGGGGAGGGGCAGAAAAAATATTTTCTGGAACCATGGCCAAAATTTTTCCAAATTTGATAAAAACTATAAACCTGCATATCTAAGCATACCAACTAACCCCAATCACAAGAAAAATAAAGCTATAACAAAGTATATCATAATATACTTATTCAAAACCAGTTATGAAAAACAAATTTAAATCAACCAGATATAAAAGATTCATTACATGCGGGAAGAAAAATTAATACGGTATGTCCCTGGGGAAAATGCAAGAAAAGAGAGAGGATAGCAACATCTTCAAAATACTGAAAGAAATACACTATTAACCTAGAGTTCTATACCCAGAGAAAATACCTTTCAAAAATTAAGGCAAATTAAAGACTGTTATAGACATGCAAAAGAATCAAAAAATAAATGAATTAATCTGCAGTGTACCCAAACCACAAAAAATGTGAAGAGGTACTCAAATAGAAAAAAAATAAGTGATACCAGGTTGAAATACAATTGAATAAAAAAAATGCAAACTATGTGGTAAATGTAGAAGATTTTTTTTTCATTAATCTCTTTAAAAGATATGGGCTGTTTAAACAAAAATGATAACAAGGGACTATGGGCTCTATACCATTTACTCAAGTGAAGTATATGACAACAATAACACAAAAGTTGGAAGGGAAGAAATGGAACTATAATATTGTGGCTGAGTTAGGAAAGTGTCATGTAACAGCTACCATTATGTCCCCAAGACAAGTGGCTGCCCTCAAACACTTAGAACCTGCTGTGGAGTGTGGATATTTATGCCAGATTCTCTCTGTCATCGGGTGGCTCTCCCTCAGGAAACCTGCAGTCACACATTTCTATTTGGCTTGTTTTAGCCATCCCAGAGCCGACCACATAGATAAATCCAAGTGCCACTTGCGGAAACGCTTTGAATTCTTTCCCTAGCAGCTTGCCTCGTCCCTTCGCAGTAAATAACCATCAGAAATTGGGAGTGGAGGGGAAATCTCGTTCTATCCACTCGCTGTGTCTATATCTCACCTATGGCCCAATCAGAGCACAAAATTTAAAGGCTACAAACTCAATGTTAAAGACGTCTCTGGCTGGTGAAACTTAGGGTGATTTTTTCCCCCTACTTTCTTATTTTCATTTTCTGTTTTTTTTCTTCAAAGACCATAATTACTTAAGAAATTTCATAAAAAATAAATAAGCACTGTTATGATCAACAAACAAAGAGTGGGTGGATATTGGTGAGGGGTGGGGGAAACAAGCACTCTCGTACACCTGGGAAGGGCATGACTCTTCTTCGAAGATTATTTCGCAGTATCAGTCAAATCTTTGCCACGTTCAGTGATCATCAATGTATCCTGCAGATATATTCCTTTAAAACTAGACAGATAAATGCATAGGGATATTTAAGGCAGCATCATTTGCAACAGCAAAGAGCTGCAAACATCTTAAAATGTTCATCAAAGGAGAAATGATTAGATTCTGATACATCTATGTTAGGGATGTGGTGCTTAAAATGATGAAATAGATCTCTACCTACTGATTTGTATTGTATTCAAGATGTATCAAGAAAATGCAGATTACAGAGTAGTTTTGTATAATATGATACACTTGAGAAAGACAGGTAATTTGAATGTACGTAGTAATGTCTGGAAGGATTTGGTAGAATGCTGTGACCTTTCACCTATTATCTTAGAATATTTATACTGTGATCTCATTTGTACTCACTCTGGGAACCCTAAGCTCAGACCAGCATTCCCCAAGACACCAGGCCCTTTAATGAAACTTGCACAAACTATTTCTTCTATGTGAAATGCCTCCCTTCTCCTTCCTCTCTCAAACCCCTTTTTTGCCAATAAGGGTTCCAGCTCAATGTTACACGTCAAGGTGCTATTTCAGAGCTTCCTACTCTGCTTTCATTACCTATTGGCACTTTCCACATTTTAGGGTCCTTTAAAAAAAAAAGGCCTACTTCCTTCGCTAAAAGGGAAGCTTTTCAAAACAGGAAAACATGGTACATGATTTTTGTTTGTATTTCAGAATCTAAAGCTAGATCTGGCACCTAATAAACACCTGATAAACGTTTGCTGTTTACAAAAAGAAAAAGGAATGGCCTTTCTAAATATGAAAGTCTAACCTCCCAGAAAAAAAGAATTAGCATCAGTACCCTAATCTGTTTATGTATCTGGAATTTCTTTTTAAAATAAATGTCTTTCACAGGGGAAGATGTCTATAAGTCAGGAAAATATTGAGGCCCAATATTATTGAAATAAGGTTTAATCAAAATGGCTACTTTTGAATTATGTGATAGCTTTAGTAAATGTTCAGAGTCATTATTTTAAAGAAATTATTCCACACTTTTTATTAAATTTATTGGGTGACACTGGTTAATAAGGTTATATAGGTTTTAACAAAAGAAATGATCCTGCATTAAATATTAAGAATAATTTTTCACTTCAGCTAATTTGTCAGCTTTTATTTATTCAAAGAAATGATACAAATGACTTCCTTTTATTGGCACTTATCAGTTTTAATTATAGATCTAACTGGTTTTTTAAAAAGCATATGATCGAAGTGTTGGCTAAGTCATACATCCTGTGACCCTTTTTTATGTTCAAACTTCTGTTTTTTGTCTTGTTCCCTACTATAATTCAGACATAAGGAAAGCATGAGAAAAAGTACAAAACTTGATTGGCGGCAAACAGGAATGTTAACTAACCCTCCCCAAAGAGGCTACGGTAGAATGTGAGTAATAGTATAAATCATTATAGAAAGTGAAAATCAGTCGGTTTCCACATACAGCACGTGCCGCTTGGTTTTCTGAACACAGGAAATAGGAGGATGACTGATGGGCGTGTGTTTTGCCCATCAGAGTGGAGGGTCTCACTCACCTCTGCCTTAGCCAGTCAAAATGGATTCCTTTTGTAACACTAATGATGCAGTGATGCAGATCTATGACAATGTGTCCTAAAATTCCACGGACACTGTGATTCAAATAGTTTGTCCTATTGCTGCATGAGTATACCTTTCATACCATATGCCCCAACTTTTATTTCTGAGAACATGGCTTACTGGAGTTACAGACTAATTGTTATATAATTTATGAAAAATATTGTTTTGTTGGGGGGAGGTTAAGATCAGTCCTGTTCTATTAAGACCTTTAGATAAACTATGGGACTCTTCTGTAATCAAAAGTGACTTACATGAAACAGATGGGCTAACTAAGACTGTTGTTCCTTGTTATTGCATTTATCTCCTAGTATGTCATACCATTCCTTACACAACATAGATTTTCAGTAAGTATTTGTTGCATTAGATAAAAGACTGGAAGCAAGGAGAAATGTTCAGAGATAAAATAATCTTCAATACTACTCTCATTTTCCATTTGCTAGAGCTGGTGATTCCCTGGGGCATTGTCACACATCTACAAGGACTTAGGCATTGGGTCCTGCTCAACTTATTTCAAAGGCAACAGAGATGAGCCCAGATTTTCAGCATACCACCACCCACAGCCTCTGCCATCCGCTGCCCACCCTGCTCACTGGGCCTCAAATAATTTCTTTTACACTCCATTTGTTTGCTTTTGTGGCATTTGTTCTAAAAATTAAAAAGTGTCTTTGTTCATGTCTTTATTGAACTTCAAAGTTCAAATGTCTAGAATGAGGAAAAATATTGCTGAAAACAAACTTTCTATGCTCTGTCTCTAAATAACCCAGTGACTGAACAGAATCATTATTTTGTGAATGCAGAATTTTACTCATCATTTCTTATAAAGAAATTTTAGTCTTCTGATGAGTTTTGGAAACTGAGAAAATTATGGATTAAAGATGTAAGTAAATAATATATACTTGAAGTATAAGGTATACTTTAAGTATAATAAAAAGTATAAAGGATGTGAGTCTTTTAACTTTGCTCTCTTTTTTCAAGATTGTTTTGGCTATTCTGGCTCTCTTGCATTTCATGTGAATTTTAGGACCAGCTTTCAATTTCGGCAAAGGTAATCTTGAATTTTAAGAGGAATTATATAGAATTTATAAATCAATTTGGGGATGTTGCCATCTTACCAATATTAAGCCTTGTGCTCTAAGAGCATGGAATGCCTTTCTACTTATTTATGTATTTTTTTTATTTCAACAATATTTTGTAGTTTTCAGAATATCATTTGTATATTTCTTTGTTCAACTTATTCCAAGTATTATATTTTTGATACTATTGTAAAGGAGATGTTTTCCTTGTTGCTTTGTTTTGTTTTCTTTCAACTACTGCACAGGAAAAAAGTGAGATGTATAACCAAGACTGGAATGGTGTTATAGAGTTCTTATAAAATGTTATATGATCTTATAGCATCCAAAAGTATATGCCCTCACAAATAAATAAATAAAACCCTCTGGAACTAAATCTATTACTCAATGAGAGGGACGTAATTACCAGAAAAGACCATTCCTTTTTATGGTTAGATAAGATCCTAAAGTTCTAATGACCAGTTTCCAAAAATTAAACAAGGCCATGGAGTAATGGCTCAAAGATGGAATGGAACACCTCAGGAATGACAACTCAGAATGTTTAATGAGTCTTTTAAAATTTCTAGATTCTACCCTATTCATTACCATGACCTGAACAAGTATTTAATTTCTCTAAACCCCAGTTACTTCATCTGCAAGATAAGAGGGTTGGACCAGGTGATCACTAAGGTTTCTTCTAGTAATATTCCCTGACTATTACTTTATTTCAAAGGATAATGACAAAGGAGTTTAATGACAAATGGTAATTAATTTCTCCCCCCAAGTTGGCACACTCTTCTTAAGAAAGCACTGTGTACAAAGGATTTTGTCTCTCTCAAGGTCATATGCTAATACTTTCCCAGTCCATATGATGCATATGGTCACAGTCTCTAAATATACTTTGACCTTCTTCCTTAATTTTTCTCTATTTTCTACAAATTTTATATACTGTTTTGACCATGAATATTATATCCCCTTTCTTATTGCTCATTTTAGCATTTAAATACCTTTGGTGTCTAACTTGGTCCCTGACTATTTTTCAATTCAGAGCATCCTTTCAGGAAGGCAGGATGGACTACTGCCTAAGTAATACACTGTGATTTCTAGCAGCTGGAGAGAGTCTCCATAGTCCCTAATGTCCCTTACTGTTTACCAGTTCCAGAAAATGCTTTTTAAAGGACTGAGATAACATTGACTTTAAACAAGAAACATTGTTTTACTTGAAATTTATAAGAAATCAACTGATATTTGAAAAATGCACTTAAGTAAAATCCTTTAAACTCTAGTCTCATAAAAATAGGTTTTAAAGTATAAAAATTATAATAAAGCATAACAATAACTTGTAACCATGGAAGGTAGGAGAAACAAATAGCAAAGAGGAGGCAGAATGAACATTGTGTGATGGGAGCTTAGAGGAGATATGAAAAAAAGGTATTCTGGGGGCCCTGAAATTAGTCTTTGATCAAGAAATTAAATTGCCTAGGAATTAGAGATAGATAGATAGATATGATCTTCTAGGCAAACTGGTATTATATTATATTACATTATGTTATATTAATTTGAATGACAGTAGGAATTATAGAGACCTTTCCTTGAGTATTATATATATAATAGCAACACACATCTACATGTATATGTGTGTGTGTGTGTGTATATATATACACATATGTATATGACCCAAATCATGTAAGTATCATTGATTATTCATGAAGGTAATATTTATAAGCATCTACTTACTACATACCAGCCACTATTTCCAACCATGGGGGTATAACAGTAAAACAAAGAGGGTATATTCTAGTGGGAGTACTATGATATATTAGAGTTTACTGACCACAGCACCCAGCACAGCGAGAAGCACACAAGATACACGTACACCTTCTGATTGTAATGTGGAATATTTCCTGCATCAGACAGGGTTTGGAAAGGGAAGCACAGTTCCCTGAGTGTTATGAAAGCATTCTAGAATTGACCTCATACATTTGTGAGGAGCGAGGGAACGAAGGTCTCATGGTGGAGGTAGAGTCACTAACCTGTCAATCTCAGAAACCCAGACTCCCAGCCATGAAGGGGGAGCAGAGAGGAAGGTGACGGGAAGCCCTTGCCTTTGCACAGCTATTGCCCCTGTAGGTTTCAGGCAGTCTCTGCTGGCGGCCTGGCAGCTGTTCATCAGTGGCTGGGAAGAGGAGCCAGGCGCAGACCTGCTGGAACCGGCCAGGCCCCTCTGCATCTGTTCATCACTGATCTGACAGTGACAACCAGCCGAGAGTAACAGCCACTCCGTCACTTCTGCCTTCCAATCTCATGCAGCTTAACCAGGTAGACACAGCACAAATCCCCATGTCTGCCATCAGGACAACAATAGGTTGTGTGGATAGACAGTAGGGTGGTCCTCCTGGCCCCTGCCCTCAGGTGTCCATATCTTTGTGTAATACCCTCCACACGAGTGCAGGTGGGACCTGTGACTTGCTTCTAATCAATAGAATATAGCAAAGGTGATGGTCGTCCCGCCTGTGATTATGTTATGTTATGTAAGACACGGTCTTAGCAGACGGGAGCAAGGGCAAGAGAGACTGTCCTGCTGGCCTTGAAGAAGCGATCAGGCGTGTTGGGAACTGCCTGCAGAGAGCATACCGGAAAAGGGGCAACATACACAGAAGAAAAATCAATCACAGGCACCCGACAGTCTCACTTCCAGCGTCGAATCGCACTTTTTCTTGCTCCATCCTAGCGCAGGCTTCCTCAGCCTTGGTGCTATTGACGTTCGGGCTGGAAAACCTTGTGTGAGGGGCACTGTCCTGCACATCGCAGGAGGTTTAGCAGCATCTCTGGCCTCCACCTACTAAACATTATTATCACTCTCACCACTCTCCCCAGGACGCAACAACCCAAAACATCTCCAGCCATTGCCAAATGCAGCCTGAGGGGTAAACTTGCTTTGCTTGAGAGCCACTATTCTAGTGTAAGAGTTATTGTACTGCTGAGTTCTGTGTAGCCAAAGGGAAATCTTAAAAAAGAGAAAGATAAGTCTCAGTCACAGTTAATTTGCACACTTAAAAAATCCATTTTCTAACTGCTCACCCCCAAAAGTTAAAGCTGGCGTTTGCAGCCCTAAATCCAATGGCTTTTTCTTTGTGCTCACCAGCTGATAATGAAGACAATGCTTATGTGGACGCATTGCAGTACAACTTCTTTGGGAGGAAAAAAAAGTGATATTTTTAACAATATATGTAGAAGCCCTTGAATCAATCATTAAATAGCAGAGTATAGATGTAAGTCCTGTTCAAACAGCTCCTATTCTGTGGGACAATCTACAAAAAGACAGACCTTGGGATACTCTTTGTCAATGACTAAGTAAGTATACAGTAGATCTTTTTATTTGCTTCGAGTTCCAGAATCTGTTTTCATCGTTATCTTTTGGCATGAGCTGCCGTGCTACATATTGCAGCCCAGGTGATGTTATGGGATATTAATGCTAATATGAAATCCTATAAATGCAACAGTTGAGCACAGGATTATTTTGAAACAGCTGTCCTGGATATAAAGCTACTAACATAACAAGTCCTCAGGTAACAGAACTTTTTAAAGTAAAGTTGACCAAAATATGAATGAGTGAATGAATGAATTCATTCTTGCAGTCTGTCTTTATTGAGAAGCTACTGCTCTTGTTTGCTAGAGATGCAGTAGAGAAGGGGATAAATATAATGGTTAGGGTTACAGAAATGGCAGGCTCTTTATAAAATGAAAGAGAACACATGAATAAAGAGTGTCCTAAATATGATCAAAATGTCATGCACTGGACTCGGTGGGAGCAGGGAGAGAAGGCACATAACTCACCATGGAGGTGAGTGAAATGCCCCATCAGAAGTGAAGGACGCATTTTCATCCATCAGGTAAAGAAGCTAGAAAAGTGTGCTCCGAGCAGAAGGACCGGCATGAGTGAACCTGAAGGCTGTGGCCCAGGTAAGACTAAAGGAGAGAACAGGCGTGTCCAAGTGGTAGGCCATGAAGCTGCAGGGGCAGGAGGGGCCACGTGGTGAGGGGCCTATTACAACCTGCGAAGAAATTTTAACTACATCCAAAAGGTGATGGGAGCCACTCTGGATTTCAGGCCGGGCTGTGACATGGTTGAATTTGCATTTCTGGGTGAGCAGGACCCTGCATGGAACCTAAACTGGACTGGACAAATCCTGAGGCAGGAAGACCATTAGGTGGCTAAAGCACAGGATGTCAAAGATATTTATCAAAGGTTGCACAGAGGCAGCAGGGATGGAGAAGAGATGAAGAGGGCGTGGCCAGTTCTCACGTCCTCAAGTCTGGGCCTGTGCAGGCTCTGGGAGCCGGCCTCACGGGCTAGAAAGGCAGGCAGAGTGAACGTGCTTGGGTTCTGCGGGAGGCGACATGCATCTAGGACACCTTCCTAAATGTCTTAGGTAGTTATGTGATACAGAGAACAGATTTACTAAGTCCATAAGAAAAGATGCTGTTTGGAACACATATTCATTAAAGAGGAATTATAGTTTGCAAATCTGGCTGTGATTGTCAAATCTTGCCCTTTACACCTCTGAGGAAAATCACCGA